ATTTTTTAATTTAGAATTCATACAACTTCCGAATGCGGGATTTCGCTGTAACATTCTACTTTGCGCCTCGGTCTGGCGCTGTTTGAGCTGTAGAACATCTCAATGAAGCTTTCCGCTTTACCTTTTGTACGAAAAACTGCGATCTCCGTACGGATTTTGCAACATAACGCGACAAAATATTCGGATCTCGCGAAAACGCACTAAGGGCCTTCCTAGCACTGTTTTTATCACTTTGACCATGCTAACCCCCGCTCCCTGGTTTTCTCGTAACTGTCAGGCCTTATTTGTACCGATTAAAACCCTGCAAACTGTCGAATAGTGCACTCTTTAATTTTTTAGCAATTTTACGTGTACTTAAGGCCGGATCATTTATAAACTCGTGCAAATTGGTTTGTCTCGTTTCTAGCTCGGTTGCCATTTTTAACTCAACTAGGAATCAAATTCAAACGAAATTTCTTCTACGTTCAACTAAGGTCATGGTCAACTTATAAAAACTATTGGCTTTATTCTATATTTATACGTTGATACCTGTCATGTTTCCATGTTAAAATCCAGTTAATAACTCACTTTATTAGAAGCAAAGAATATGTACAATAGAAACGAAAAGAAGAGTATAAAAGGTAATAATAAAGATGGTTGCCAACTATGCGTAATAAGCGTAATATTACTTGGTGTTGAGACTACAATCTCCCACGCTAATAGGAGACATGGTCCTTAAGGTAGGCCGGAACTTTCCTTATTTTGCTTGATTGCCTGATGCTATCGCTACCATTACTCGCTATAGCTGCTGAAGTGCAGCACCTGCAGCTGGAGTTGTGATACGTTGTTGTTGCTGTGGAGAACGTTCTATCCAAATCTCCTCCATGTTGTGTTTAGGATGGTTGATATGTTGTGCTTCAAACGTGACAGTTTTTTTTTGGCTAGTCAACATTTGTTTTATTCAATTGATTGATGTGGCGCTTCAGCTTATATCCGCTGTCTAACAACACTTCGTAATGTAAGTGGCCCCTCTTGGCCGTGGCGACACCAAATTTCCATCCAGATTTTCCTCCTCCATATGAACGTGCTTGCAGTCTATCTCCCACGCTAATAGGGTGTCCATGTGACGTCTGACCAATTGATTTCTTATGTTTGTTTGGTCGAATGGCATCAAGCTTTATGCGGATTTCTCGACCCAGGTATAACTTCGCTGGAGTATCTCCGCAGGCTAAAGGTGTTGCCCGATAATGTAGTAAAATTTCTTGGACTTTTTCATTCAACGGAGTTGCATCGTCTTCCATAGATTTCAGTTTTGAGTTTAAAGGTTGTACGTACCTCTCAGCAAGGCCATTTGTGGCTGGATGGCCTGGTGCGATAAATTTCTGAATGATTCCGTTTGCGTGACAAAATTCTGTAAACGCTAAGCTTGTAAAAATTGTGGCGTTTTCAGATACAATGATCTGCGGTGTTCCATGTTTATAAAAAATATTTTTCAGAAGGTCGATAGTTGCTTGTGTGGATGGGGCATCTTTTAGCACGCGCACTTCCGGCAACTTGGACTTTGCGTCTACTAAAACTAGGAAATTGTGGTTCATGAAAGGGCCGCCGTAATCGATATGAACGCGCTGAAAATTTCCTGTTGGCTCTTCCCAGTGATGCACTGCCACTTTCGGAGGGGCTTTCATAACTTTTGCACAGCTTTCGCATCCTCTAACCGTAAGCTCAATGTCTAAATCAATCCCGTTCCAAGTGACGTTCTTGCGAGCCAACTGCTTCATTTTAACAATCCCCAAGTGTGTATGATGAAGTTCTTTCAAAACGTATTCTTGGAGCTTTTTTTGGAATCAGGACTCGATTAGCTTTAAGGATGACACCATTTTGTATTTTGCTTCGTTGTTGATTTCAGTCATCAACTCTGATTTTAGTTTTACTAGTTCGGGATCTTCTATTGTTGACTGAGCTACCGTAATCGCTATTACGGATTTTATTGAAATTTCGTTTATAATTTGCTCTTGAATCACGTGCACTTCTTCTTCAACAAAATTTTCGATCTTTGGTTTTTCTTTAACTGGTGCCCTCGACAAGCAATCTGCGTTCACGTTTTCGTCTGCACTACGATGTTTTATTTTCTAATTAAATCCCTGAAGAAATGAGGCGTAGCGTAACAATCTGGCGGATGTCATTGCCGGGATTTTCGCTGTTTGGTGTAGAATTCTCGATGCAGGCCGATTATCCGTAATCAAGGTGAATTGTCTGCCATGTAAGTACATAAGCAGCTTGCCTACTGCAAATATGATGGCTAACTCTTCTCTGTCTAATTGGCTGTCGTTTTGTTCTGCTTTTGTAAGCGCACGTGAGATAAACGCCACAGGCCGCTCTTCGCCATCAACAACATTAGAAAGAACCGCTGCAATGCCTGTTGGACTTGCATCACATGCCACTGTTATCGGCAATGTTTCATCGTATGATCTCAATACGCGGTCTGATAGTATTTCATTTTTCAGCAGTGTAAATGCACGGCTACATTCCTGTGTCCATTTGAATGGTTTGTGCTTTTGTATGCATACGCAATGCGCTTTATAACTGCTGGTTTACGCCAATTTTATAGTCGACACATAATCCAACGTTTCCATCCGGTTTCTGAATTACCACTAGAGGCGAGCCCCAGTTGCTAGTGTTTACTTTTGTTATGATGTTATCTCGCTCTAAACTATCAAGTTATATTTCAACGTTTTCACGTAATGAAAATTGGACTTGTCTCTCCCGCAAAAATATTGGCTTGGCGCCTTCTTGAAGCTTTAAACTACACACGAAACCCGGAATACAACCAACTTTTTTCAAAAATTTCTGGATATTTTTGCACTATATGCGAAATTTAATATACCTCACAAGGTTTATTTTGCTCGTTTGCTGATATCTGTCAATTTCATTTAAATTGATTTTCAAATGACGCATCCAAACACGACCAAATAGTGGGGAATGGCTAGACGACACAACGTATATTTGTTCTTTTGATGCGTTTTTACCGAATTTCATATTGACGTCTACAACACCTAACGGCTTGAAAGTATTTCCAGTGTATGTTCTGAAAGCAATGTTTTTTGATTTTAATTCTGACTGGATGTCAAGATTTTTGAAATCATTTTCCGGAATGAGTGTATACCCTGCGCCTGAGTCTACCTCAAAACATTGTTTTTCCCCTTCGATTATAACTTCTGCGAAAAATTTGTGTGCGTCCGTGTTTGACGCTGTTGTTAGAAATGTTAACAACTTGATTGACACTATAGTTTTTCGGTTCGTACACTTCTAATGCATTGGCAGAATTTTCTTTGCCTCTTTCTGTTTCATCTTTTCTTTTATGCACACTATTTTGACGTGACCGGACTTGCCACATGCGAAGCATTTTAGTTTGTACTTATTTATCTTGCAGTCTTTTGCAATATGATTATTTTTACCGCATCGTAGACACTAACCGTCTATTCCTAATTCGCTTTAATCGACTTTTGCTCTTAATTCCCTTTTAAAGTTGCTGCTGCGCTTTCTTTCTCGTTTGTCGTATGTTTTTTCTCTTGAGGCTTTAACTTGATTGATGTTAGTTGCTGCACCTGCTGCTCTATGCCCCATGGCGTTATTATGGATTTTGGCGGTTTCCAATGTTGTAGATGTTTCTACAATTTTTGCGAATGATGCTGTTGGATTTTGTAGAAGCTGCTCTCTTATATATCTGTCACGTAGCCCTCTTATAAATTGGGCTCTAAGAAAGATATTAGAAACGGTTTTCGTACATTCACACACAAATGCACAATCGATTGCTCTTATTTAAAGCACCGCAACAAATTCCGTTATCGATTGATCCTCGTTCTGTATTTCTGATAGAAATTTGTGCTGTTCGACCAGAATGTTCTTTTTTGGACAAAAATGTGTTTCCAATAATGAAATTATTTCGTCGTACTGAAGGCTGCCTACCGATTTTTTTTTTGTTTGAAGAGCCAATGTATTGCAGCAAGAGTTTTGGGCACATATCTTTGTTGCTCATGATCCTGTTGACTTGGAAATGGATTTCCAGACGTTCCCTGTAGTTTTTGAAGGATTCTTGCTTTGGATTAAAAGCTTCAAAGCCCGACATCACATTTATATTAGTCGATGACGCTGCACCATGATTTTGCTGATGCATTGCGGCTGTCATACCCGCCAATGCTTCTAGTAATTTTTCCATTTGTGTCTCCATACCGGCACAATAATTTTATAATAATAGGCGTGTTTTATTTGACGCGAAATTTAGGCTATTAGCTTATTTTGTATGGAAGACTTAGCCAACATATATATATTGGCTAAGCTAATAGCTTAATTTCTCGTCAAATAAAACACGCCTAACGGTCGGACTACTTTTTTTAATTTTATTTTTTGTCCTCGTCGCCATTTCTGTCATGTTCCATGTTAAAATCCAGTTAATAACTCACTTTATTAGAAGCAAAGAATATGTACAATAGAAACGAAAAGAAGAGTATAAAAGGTAATAATAAAGATGGTTGCCAACTATGCGTAATAAGCGTAATAAAATAAAAATAAAAAGAAGTGCGCCTAGGCCACACTGAAGAAGTGAAACTTACGTCACATACATATCTATTTTGTCTCATAGACTAATGGGACTAACCGTACTTCTTTCGGAAGTACAGTACTTTTTTTCGATCTTGTACTTCGTACTTCGAAGTACAGTCAAATGTACTTCTAGGCGATATATTGTACTTCAGGAGCGACTTTTTGACGCATGATATAAATGTTTTTGCGTCAAAAAGTCCGATAGCGATTCGAAAATTGTGCGCTAACTGGTTACAGAATCTCCCCCCAGGCCCTGTACTCCTCCGATCTTCTGGACGATCGTCACATGGCCGGGGCGATAAATTCGTTCAAACCATTAAAGTCGCCGAGGACTGATGGCATCATACCTGCCCAGCTGCAAAGTGGATTCTATTTATGCGAACTGCGTGAGGACCAGGTACATCCAAAGGCTTGGAGGGTAGTCAATGTTGCTTTCATACCGAAGTCCAGAAAAGGCTCTCATGTTTCCCCTACTGATTTTAGGCCTATCAGTTTCTTTGTTGCTAAAAACGCTAAGAGACTGATAGACCCGTACATAAGGAACGCGATTCCTCGCGACTGTCTTTCAAGAGCTCAATATGGTTATTGCAAAAAAGGTCGGTGAATACCGCCCTGCACGCCTTGGTAAAGTGGTCAGAGGGAGCTTTCACGCATGAAGATTATGCAGTAGGGGCCGTCTTCGATATCGAGAGGGTCTTCAAAAATTTCACTCCAGAGGCATTAGTCAAGTATATTCATAATCTGTCGCGGCGGAGTGGGGGAGCGTCTGCACACAGTGCAGAGTCAATAGGAGCACTCCACAAGGTGGTGTTCTGCTCTGGATTGCGGTTGTAAACGACCTTCTAGAGGAACTGGAAAATGTGGGCTGTCGGGTGATCGGCTATGTAGATGATGTGGAACTTTGGGTTAAGGGACGATTTCTATACACCCTTTTCGATCTGGCTCACGGTTACTTGCACAAGGTAACTAGGTGGGCAATCAACGACGGCTGTCGTGGAAGCCTAACGTTGAAGAAAGGGTAGGAAAGGTGTCGGTTGCCTTGTACTGCTGTAGGGGAGCTATCGGTAGAATTAAAATCAATTCATTAGCTCTAGGAAACCAGATTAAGCCTATATTGTTTCAAGGAACCCTTGTCTGGTGGAGCTCACTAGTGATGAATAAACTTGTAAAACAGGAATTAGCGGAGCATTAAGAACCACACCTACACCGGCACTTAACATATATATGTTGAACACGACACCTGCGGATGTTGTAGACAGAATTGTCGCAGCACAAACTGCTATTAGGCTAAGGGAAACCGGGTTCTTTTGTGATATAAAAGAGGAAAAGAAGTCGCTTCTCTGCTGCAGCAAATGTTTTTATTGACCACTTTAAAACACGTTACCTCTCAAGGGCTAGTGATGGGGGTTCTGGCAGGCCATTGTGCGAGTGGTATTATGCGGTGGGACCAGGAATTTCAGCTTATCCTTTTGTATCAGTTGCAAGAGGAAGATGAAGTGGAATCATCTCAACACTTTCTTTTAAACTGTCGAACCTCGCGCGCCTAAGATGGAAGCATTTTGGCTCGCACTTCTGAACAAACACTGAGCTCTCAGGGATCGAAATTATCCGCTTTCGAAATTTCGTAGTCGGCTCGCGGTGTTAACTTAACCCAACCTAAGCTGTACTTCTTTGAGCTATGAAATGGTTGGTCACATTACTCATAACCAATATACATATATACATACATACATACAACTGCTTTTGCATAAGGTTATATTTTATCTTTTTTCTATCTATGTAGATCCCTACCTCTACCTTTTATTCACATTTATGTTATTCTGCCTTCCTTTATCTTCATTTTTACCTTCATACTCTATAGATAACAAAATCGATAGTATCATCCAATAAAATATCGATCACAAAACGGATAAAAAAATCTATAACAAAATCGATGAAAATTTTGATAAAAATTTCGATAGAAAAATCGATAATAATATTGGTAGCAAAATCTACCAACAGCAACTCGATAAAAATATCCATAACAAAATCGATAAAAATACCGATAACAAAATCGATAAATATCGATAACAAAATCGATAAATATCGGTAACAAGATCTATAAATATCGATAACAAAATCCATAAATATCGATAACAAAACCGATAAATATCCACAACAAAATCGATAAATATCGATA